TGATGGGTGGCACTCATTTGGTTTCACAGGGGACCAAGAAGTAAGCCTCATTAATTATGACAGCGGGCTGGCATTAATGCCAACGAGCCGACAAAAAGGTCATGACACGTACACCCACTGTACTAACGTCTTCGTCAAACCCCCCCCAGAGCAATTTCCCCTGCCCTGGGGCCTCCAGACCTCAAGGTCAGGGAACAATCCAAAATAATACTCCACCCACTGCTTTTGTGTTTATGTTAATGACTTTTCCCCCGAATAAATGTTAATTATATTGGAGATGACTGACAAAGGTGCCCAAAGGACACTGGGTAATCACTAGAGCAATCTTTCCTTTGTTTACACATTGGAGGATTACGGGTGTGCATTGCAGCCAGTAGCTGCCCTGTAGACTAGTTTCAAACTGCTTAATTGTATAGATTTCATGGATTTTTTTCTGGAGAATCTTATTGAACTGTAGCAAATCCGGTTCTGAAAGATTGAATTTTGAGAAGAAGAATTGAATCAGCCGCCCCCCCCCGCCCAACCCCACGTATGACACAAGACATCGCATACATCATTCTGATAATGCAAGGCCTGCTTTGCAGCAGTTAAAAGCCAAATGTCCATCAATCTCCTTTCCAGGAGATGCCCCAGGCCTACCGTGGGATAGAAGGGGCACCCTGGACAAGATGCCAGTCAAAGTACAAAAGTGTTTTTAATCACTGGCTTCACTTTCTTCTTCAGCCGACTTATTCTTTAACCTTGATTAAGTCGCTAATCAGCGCAGACTCTCAGTATGAGGAATCCGTGTCTGAATCTGATAGTTCAGCAGAGAGATCAAAGCGCCGTTGAATCGCTAAAAGAGGAGGAAAAAACTCCTCCCCCTGAAATGAGGCCCCGCAACGTATTTTACCAATTAATTCATTAAATGATACGTTAGTGTTTCACATACCAGGGTGATTCTGGGAAACACAGACTATGCCTGTCAGGTGTCAGATCGATGGAGGTGCAGCCCAAGGTGCTGTCTGCATTTGGGAGCAATTGATGCCCGTCATCAGGAATGACCAACCCTCTGTCTTTGATTACTCATCTCCTTCTCCATGATGGCCAGTGCTTTACACGTATGAGTATTGACAGCCCATTATTTCATTTGTACATAACTTGTTATAGGTTAAGCTGGATGGAATTGGGTTTACAATTGGAGGTTCCTAATACTCCCGGAAATTCTCGATCTCCTGTGTTTCTACCACATACCCAGGGGCGTCAGAGGGGAATGGGCACCCTGGCAGATTCAGGGGGGCCCAGCACTTTACAGGAGCCCTTAAAAGTGTAAAAAATAAAAAAAATCGGCCAAGGCCCAAGGCGACATTTTGCCAAGGGGCCCAGGATTTCTAGCACAAATCTCCAATGAAATTCAAGTAAAGTCAAGCGTGTTTTATTGTCATGCCACCATATACATGCATACAACAGCATGAATAAAGTTGCCCCAGGGTCATGGTATGACATACAAGCAATCAGTGACAAGGGGAGGGTTTACACAGGACTTAAAGTGCAAAACACAGGACGGTCAGAAAGGGGGGGGGGCTGGACACAAGGATTTTATGCATATATTAGGGTCTATATGCATTGTGCATGTAAACAAGTCATCAGCAGCATTAAGGGTTAGGATAAATATAGTCAATAACTTAATATAGGCATAAAAATAACTAGTTAAAGTGAGTAGTGCCAGTGGGGGGGGGGGGTATTGCTGCTACTGAACCTGGCAGAAGAGACTCTGATGTTCCTGTATCTTCTGCCAGATGAGAGCAGGGCAAAGAATGCATGGGGAAGGTTGGGGGGGGGGGTCGTCCACGATGGCCCAGGCTGCTTCATGTCATTTACTGCTCACTTCCCGTGTCCCATTTTCCATTGGATGCAGAATGATAGAAATCTGCCTTTGATCCCAAAGATGAAGAGAACTCATCACGTGCGGAAGGATTCTTTTGAGGGCACGCAGAATGATGAAGAGGTAAAAGGTGAAAGGTTGGGGGGGGGGGTAGCTGGTGTGCGTGTCTCAAACATGAATAAGTTCAACAGAAATCACTGGGACTTCCTTCCAAGATATACAGCTTAAATTTATTAGATTTTTTTTAATACAAAAAAAATTCACACAGCTTGATTGTTATCAGTTTATCTGTTCCTGGGGTTTATTGGCTTGGAGCTTGGTAGCATTAATTAAACTAAAGATTAGTGGGAAATCCCTGCAAAGTCATTAATGCATTTGTATGTCTATCTCTCTCTCTCTCTCTCTCTCTATATATATATATATATATATATATATATATATATAACTTAATAAAAAAACCTTTGGTGTCGGTTGTTAGGTTTGTGAGGGAAAGAATGCAAGATCTCCCAGTAAGACCATCATCAGAAAGATACACTTCTGACCATCAACAGACATCAGATGTGTCTCCAGGAAGGATGAATGTTGACTTCATTTTTCCTGCTTCTCAGAAATACTCTGATGTGAAAGTAACGTTCCGACAGTTGAGAACCTCTCATCTCGATGGAGTCCTGCGGGGAACATCCAGACATAGATAAAAACTACCACGATGAACCGTCAGAGTTTATCACTCCTGTAGGAGAACATCTTCAGACGATGATGTATGTAACACACACAGACATGCATCAGAGAGCACTGCCATGGTGACACTGTCATGATGTCTACCCCTGGTGTCTGCACTCAGGTGTTGGTTTCTCCATGGTTAGCTAAACGGTTCCTGTTGGGTCATACCATGATAATCCCACCCCCATTGATTCTGAAGCTGCAGTCTCATGGCTCGGACCAACAAGACTTCTTGAAGATTAACTGGTCAGGTGACAAGTTATTAAATAAGACCTTCCCCGCTGCAGCAAGATTCAGCCAAGGTTAAGATCTTGGTGCAAAAATGGATACATTAACTTTCGGATTTCTAGATTAGCTGTATTACAGCTTTAACATGAGAGTAATCTAGATCTGGATAAGTGGATTATTCAGGTCTAAATTACAAAATTACCAAAATGTAGATTAATAACTTTACTGCTCTGACATGCCTAAAATCCTCACTTGATAAAATTCAGTGTTAAAAATCTTGAAGGACGGATTTATGTTATGAGTTGTTATTTTAATACAATTCTGCGAATTTGAGTATTTCAGCTGAAATAAATGAGGAAAGCAGTGACATTGATTAAAGCTGGATCCAGTGCAGCCAGAAGCTCCTTCCCTCCAGCATCATCCTTGACCCCCAGCCCTGTTGGACGTTTCCAGTGACCCCAGTCTTCCAGATTAGGGCCCCGCTGGCTGCCCTTCCCCACATGCCAGTGGACCCAAACACACCCCCAGTCAGACCTCTCTGCCTGCCCTGCACCACTTACATCTCTGAGTTTCGGGGGGGGGGGGTCGTTATTCTTAAGCTGGGTGGTTAATACACTTCTGCCGTCCGCCTGCGGCCGAGCGCATCGATCGCTTTCGAATTGAATAATACAACACAGCGATTGGTCGGCTTTTAGAGAGACGCATCAACGGAGACTGTCTGCTTGGAGACAACACAAAGAGAAAAACATGTCCAAGGGTAAGCGCTGTGATATTCCATCATCATCTTCAACATCTTCATCATCACCATCTTTATTATTATTGTTATTATTATTATATTAATATTATTTTTGTTACTGACACTGTTATTGTCAATAATAAAAAATAAAGACAATTGCATAATAATAATAATAATAATTATTATTATTATTATCCTTAATACGTGTGAAATCCCCCTCATCAAGCGCAGGCGGAAGCCGAAGTTCCCAGAGAAAACAGACCTGGACACACACATTTGACACAGGAACGCTCCACCCAGGGAATCCACACCGTGGAGAAGGCCAACGAGCGATCCACCCTGTGATTCCATTCACATGTATTTCCGTGAGGGACATTAGAGCACCATGAATACATTTGCACACTGTTTCTCGTGTTTTTTTTTTTCTTCTAAAAAAAAAACAGAATTAATTATTTCCCAAAAGCATCGCCTTGTGTTTCTAACTCTGGCCTCATTCCGCCGTTCCCGAAAAGCCTCTGAATCCTATTGATTTATTTCCCATCTCATCCGCGTTTCATTTTTCAAACAGCACCGCCTCATTTTCCCGCTCATACACCAGCGCCGTTTTTCCCTCCCTTTTTTCATTTTGTTCATAGCGTAAGGGGACCTTAATAAAGCGCCATCCGTCCGATCTGCATCGTCTTGGGGTAATATCACCGCAATGTTCCGCACGCTTCCCGCCTTTGATAGGAAGCTGTCTTCCGGCAAACCCCATTACGGCACTATCAAAGTCACGCTAAGAGAAAGCATGTTTGCAGCGTGTTACATGTGTGTGTGCAGGCGTGTTTATTCCTGATAAATCTATGCCAGCCCGTCAGGCTCAGAGCCGCCCGTCTGATAATCCGTGTCATTTCTCCAGATGTGTTTCTGACATCCTAAAGAGGCAAACCCTCTGTTATTGCTTGTTTTTATGTGCTTATCATATTTCTTTAGGGACAGTAGATCAAAATCTAAAACTAAATGCACTTAGAGAACAATACATTTGTTCAGGTTAGGCATTGATATATTGAGATTCCTTTGGTGGAATTTTTAAATAGAAATAAATAAATAAAATTCCTCTTTTGACGTGTTTCCTTGTGAATGTTTACAATTCCATCAGTTACTTTTTCACACTGGTATATTGCATTTGCTTCCCATGAAGGATTTTGTGGCGTGCAGAGATCAGCAGTAGAAGATTCCGCTCTTGGACTCTACAGCGAGGTACCACTTGAGAGGGGATTTCACAAGCCCGTCCCAAGGGTCCCCTCATGCCATCGTCCCTCGCGTATGATCCAACAGCATCCGCGATGAAGGCGGCGGCAGCGAGTGACGGCTCGCCCCGTCTATGTCACATTCCCAGATGATAATGAGGGAACCAGGCCGCCACTGCCAGCGGCCATCTGCATCGTGCGGCCGAGTCCCGTCTCCCGGGATACGTCACAAGGAAGGTTAGCAACCAGGTCACGGCAAAGACAGAAGATTTACACCTGAACGGAAGGACTAACCAAAGCACTGTGAAAGTCCATTTTAAATTACATTCCTCTTCTGTACTTGACTCAAGGCAGATAACGAGGAACTTAGCTGTAACGAGGTCTGGCTTTCCTGTTGGCTTCTTTGTCTCGGAGGCGTGTGACGTCTGTCTGAAAGCTCCATGCTCTTTTCACTCACACCCTGGGGCCGTGTAATGAGGGACCCCCAGAGCCCTGCACTGCAGCCCCACTGCAGCCCCACTGCACCTCTCAGAGCTGGCCTGAAAGGGAGGGGGGAGGGAGAGAAAAGGGGGAGAAAAAGAGGGGGCAGTCAGAGAAAGGGGGAGGTAGGAGACAGATGGGGAGGAGAAGATGTAGCCATTCAGGGTAATGGGGCAGCTTTGGAGACAGACTGGGCTGGAAAGGCCTGAATGAACTGGCTCCGGCTGGATCGGCCCGTCACAAGCAGAACTACAGCTCTGCTCAGAATAAAAGGGGAAACATTGACGAGCAAATCCACTTCAGAAGCTGGGCTTCACACGCAGACTGTGCCAGTAGGGCGGTGCTGGGGGGTGGGGGGGCATCCAGCAGGAGAAGCACCAGGAGGGGGCCCGGTCTGTCTCATGGTCTCCACGTGTGTGACGAGGGGGTGCGAGTCACACCGCAGGACTGTGCCTGGATACGCTACCCCTGCTAATGCGACATTAGTGGGGGGGGGCGGTCCTCTTTGAAATATTTGAATATTGGACACAGCCCACGCATAATAAGATGATGCTGAATCTATTGCACTGGCATCCCGCAGGATGGGCCAATCAACACGGGCCGCCGCCATCATTGGTGGAAATGCATTGTATACCCCCCACCCATTCTATGTGGCATGTCTACATCTCCTGATGTCTTTTTTTTTTATTGGGGAGGGGGAGCCCACATGGCCTGCATTTTGTTTTTTGAATTGCACCAAAATTGCAGCCCAAGCCGCCGCCATGGCACCCGAAGACATCTATCATCTGCCAGTCCTGCCCCCCCCCCTCAGAGACGAGCTATGGGATGTAGGTGCCAGCATCACCACCACCCCCCCCCCCCCATTGCCACAGATGTCAACTGGAGCAGTGTGGGGGGCTGGGGTAATTCACACTTTCGATTGCCCCTGAAACCGCCCCCCCCCATCCCAGATTATCCAGCTGCTCCCTGTGCCTCATTCCCCGCGTTTCAGCCCCTGACATTTTTAATCGTGTTAGTGTTGTGGATGCTGCTCTAACCCCCCCCTCCTTAGATTTTTCCGGACGTTCCCTGCGATATGCGATGGACACACCCAGACTCAAACCCATTCCCCAAATCCTCCCTTTCATCAACCCAGAGAACACCCCCGCCCCCCGTGTATCCAGGAATCAGATCTGTCACATCGAAACGCGCACAATCACACTTTGCTGAATCAGACTGAAACTGGTTGCCACGGGGACAAGAAGACATTAACCGATCAATGTGCACACTTAAAAAATTAATAAATAACAAAAAACAAACAAAATATAAAGCTGGGCCCAACCCAGGAGGAAAGGATCGGCAACGTGATGGAAACAGCAAATGGCTTTCCTCGAAACCAGGAGCGAACGGAAACCAAATCAGTGAGAAGTATTCCATTAAACATACTCAGATCGAGAATGATGGTCAGTTTCTTCTCCATCCTGATGTGGCAGTTGTAAACCTAAAGCTCTGCTTTTGAGGACCCCTCCTTCACACTGGTATCAGAAATTAAATCTGAGCCCCCTGAATCTTACCCTGGTATCCAGATAGGAGTAAACGCTGTCCAATAGAAGGAGAGGCACACTGGGTTGCCATGTCCTGGCTGCTCTGCGGATATCCTCCAGACTGCCGTCTGGCTCCCAGCGTGCCGATGTCAACAACACACAGAACTCTAGTCTCGATGTCAGCGACAGGCAAGACCCAGTCTCGCAGCCGGTTTGGTGTGTGAAATTACATCAGGGGTGGGGTGGGGGGGTATGTCTTTCATTTTCCCCTTAAGAGTTAATTAATGCCCCCTGAAGCCTCCAGTTGGTATGGCTTGGCTTAGTGCTCCCCGATTGACCCGCTGAAGCATGTGGACATAAATCCAGGGTAACGATACGGACACAGGTCCGTGTGACACATAACAACGAGCGACGGCACGCTGGGGAGCAGTGATGCTTTATAACACGAGAGAAAATGTGACGAGGTGAACAAGAGCAGGCGCTGTGGCACAACAACGATAGAGTGACACGAGGAGGACGACAACCACAGCAACTGTGGCAACATGGTAAATACCCACATCGTACAGCCGTCCACCCGGTAAACATCCAGGTATGTGCAGGGGGAGAACGGCTATTCGAACAGCCAAGCAGTGCTTCAAAGATGAAGGATGGCATGATGTCCTGAAAGAGTGCGGCTTAGACAAATGATTGATGGTGGATTTATGGGTTCAACAAAAAGTGTGATCCCAGCAAACAATGATTACTGTGTGAATGCATAAGTAAATTCAGACACACAAAACCTGGTGCACAATGCAAGAGAACTCTGTGGAACTCTCTGTCTATTCTACTCCTCTAATAGACTAAACTCATTTTAGTCTATTAAAAAGAAGAGAGCTCCCTCGGTGTACAGGAGGACACATTACACCGGCAGCATCAGAGGGGACCTCCTTTGGTGGCCCAGGGTGTTAATATGTGGAGTCCTTACTTGACAAAATCACCTTTGCCAAGCTGGTGAATGACCCCAGTCTACTGGCAGACCTAATTAAGTTCCATACAGTACTCATGCGGTTCTACTGATATACATACGGTGAACATATCTGTAGGTATATTTATATATCTAGCCTCTGTATAATTATACCGATTATTATGATAGGTTAATCTGTTTCTCTTTGTCTAACCATCCCCACCTACGATCCGATTGCCTCATCTCATGGACTGATGAATGTAATTAATATACATAAATTTTAAAGGTTTTAGTTCAATTAGAATTGAAGTAATTGATGTGTATAGTCAATGTTTGCATAGTCAATTTTTTAATGGGGAAAAATATATCCGTCAGGCTCTTCAGTTTGAAATAAGGCTGGTTTTCAGAAGTTCTCCACAAATCGAATCACACTGCATGGCATCGCATGAGACCATGTCAAAACTTTGGGGCTTTAAGCCACACCTGACGGAGCTCTCATCGATAGCGCAGCGCAGCCACATTTCATCCGCGACTCGCACCCTAGCGGGTCCCCCCACCCGCCCCGGAGGAAGCAGCCTGCCACGACAGGCACAGGCACGGCGGGACGCGCCGCGGAAAAAAGCCATTAAAAATGCCCCCCCTCCACGAAAGCCAAAAAATTAGACGATGACGGCTGATTAGCCACACAGCAGCTACGGGCATCAAGCATCCTCCTGCAGCATGTAGCGAGAGCGGGAAGGAGGGGGGAAGGAGGGAGAGTGGGGGGGGGGGGGGGGCATTGCATTCCGATTGCATCAGCTTACAATAACAAGACAGCGGAATGTCAGCCAGAGATGGACTAATGGCTTTTTCACACTGTTGGGGGGGCAGACGCGCTTTTTTCTCCCTGACATCATAAAGACTTGTTCCCGCTCAGAGACGCCACGCCATTACCATGTTAACAGCCCCCTCCCTTCAGTCCGTGTCCATGTTATTAGCATGTTATTTTGTTCCCCCCTGACCCACTGCAACGCATTACTGCCTGACACCAAGTTCTGTAAATAACCCCAATTAACTGACGAGCTGTGGTGTGTGTGTGTGTGTGTGTGTGTGTGGTACAGGAGACAGGGCTTCATTTTGGTCCCTTTTGTCCTTTTCTCCACAAGGGCAAAGAAAAACGTCCCGGGCGATACGGCTGTGACAGAGGAACGATCGACATGATAAATCCACCTATTGGAGTGAAAGATGGTTCCGGAAATCCGCTGTGGACCAGGTAACCATGGACGACAAGAAGGTTAATAACAAAAAAAAATGATGTGACTAATTAAAAGATTAAATACAAATATTTTTAATTAAGAATGATTAACAAACCCTCATTACACTTGAAGAAGTAAACCGAGAAAGACAGGATGCAATTTTCTTTTTTATTATGTTATATGTTATTACTATATTATACATATGATCATCCAATGGCTGTCAATCTTCCACAAACTGAATAAAAAATGTAATTAACAACATCATTTCAATATAATATTATTTAAAATGTGTTACATTTTGCATTTAAAATCCACAGCGTCACCGGCTTATTTCTATTTTGGTTCTAAATTACATCCCCATTTTTCTTTTTTGAATGGATGCCAAGAGAGCAAAGGTGGCTATCGAGCAAAAGAAGACAGAGAAACCTCCTAAAACAGGGAGAAGAATACAGCTGCTCTCCGCAGTTGCTCCGATCTGACTCCCTGGACCCGTCTCTGAATCCATCATCGTCTCCACTCTGGGATTGCGGGTGTGTGTGTGGGGGGGCTACTGTTATCACCCATACCGCGATCTGGGGGATTTATTTTGGCTGCCTCTCCGGGCCGGTTTAGCCAGCTAGAGCATGATGAAAATAAGTAATAGGTTTGTTAGTAAGCAGGTCAGATTCATCCTGCTGGGGCGCATAATATACGGAGGCAGGAGCGGAGGACGGTGGGTGTGCGGGGCACATGAGGACAGCAGACGAGCCCCCCCCCCAACACGCGATCCCGTTTACAGGCGCGCGCCGCAAACCGCCGGGGGAGATGCGCGAAAGGAGGCTAGACGAGGGTCGCGTTTGTTTTGACATTTTTTAAAATGTCAACAGAGCGAATGTATGCCGAATAAAGATCAGGCAGAGCCTCTTCTGCTTGTGCAAAAGCAGCGCAAAATAGTCGGAGAGCTAATTCTTTTGTGATGAATTTCGGCTGTCATGTGGTACAAGCTATAGAAATGTTATTGTACACGCAGCTCAGCGAAACACGTGGCGAGCCTTAAGCGCGGCAGGAAGCCCTAAAATGCCGAGTTTCGGCGCTCGCTAAAAATAAAACGTCATTTTATGTTCCTCGGCGGTAAGCGCCTCTCAGATGTCACCATCAGACGCTCGTCCTCACCGTCCTGTTACTCTCTCTGTGAGACACCCACACGAAGTGCGGATATTTTGAACGTTGGATACTTGTGTTTGGAAGCGCTTTCACGCCAGGTGTGCGGACATGCGTGGGCTTCAGTAACGTGACACTGTGTGTCTACATCGCTAAGAGACTCAGTATAGATTAATGCCCCCAAAACCATGCAGGGTTGGTGTCACATACTTACTCTGCAACGGAAGGGTCTGTGCATAACACGTGTACTTTTCTGGTTATTTAGCATTAATCTGCTGCAGTGTTTCACCATCGCTACACGCCCTACACCTGTTACTCATCCATTCCCCCATAATCAGAGGCAGAGTGTGCCCCGTCCTGTGTTATTCCCTGCCTTGTCCCTGTAGTTTCCAGGATAGGCTCTGGACCCTGAAGAATACCATGCTGATAAGCCGTGTGTTTCAGCCCGGACCCGTGGTTTACCAAAAAAGATCACGGTAAATACCAGCGAGCGCCAGCTTGGAAACACACCTCTGGGAGAAAGTGACTGTGAAAGCACGCTCCTAATTAGATGGAGGGGCACCCGTGTGCTCAGTCACTAAAACCGTTAGCTTTTGGGGGGGGGGGGAATCCCAGGGGGGCTGTAACTTGGTCAATTTGTAATCTCATATGGCACTGACATCATCCTAGCGTTGGGCCCTCTGCAGGGATACTCCTTCTAATGACAAGGTAATGAAATTAAACTTCATTTACACACGTACATATCCCATCTTGTTCACCTTTTTACGATACATCCTCAGGTGAAGGCAAAGCTCAGAGTCATATCCAGCAACTGCAGCATTTCCCAGGATAAGAGCCTTGCTAAGGTTCCCAAAAGCAGATATATAGCTACTCTGCAGTGGATGGGATTCAAACCTGCAACCTACTGGTCACAGGCATGGGGTGGCTAACCCACAAAGCTAGACATCGCCTCCCTGTAAAATGAAAATCAGGAACAGAAGGACTTGAGCAGTACTGTACTTGTTAGCCTAGCATCAGTCTCCCACTAAGCTCAAGGTCTCAGTTTCGCTAAGAAGGACTCTGACACATCCTACAATTAACAGTTTTACAAGTACTTACAATAAAGATCAGCACGTGAAACGTGATCATTCTGAAGTGCTTGTTGTTATTTTTAAGAGAGTCTTTCACGTCCGACATCGCAGAGCATATGCAGTGAAGCTGGAGATCTCGACTTTTCTGTCAGCACCAGATTTACGGCAAACATGCGTAGATCATAAGCGACACACCCATATAACACGGCACATAGTGGCTGCTGGAGCTTAAATGAGATATATACCTGGCAGAAGGCCTGCAGGAAGCATTACTCATCTTCAATTTAGCTCGTGTCTGCAGTGCCGGGTCTGTAAGGTTTAAACCTGAGCTCTGAGACATAAATTCTCCAGCAGAAGGGGAATTTCAAAAGCTTGATAAGGACCCGAGGAAGTTTGTGACACTAAGTGATCCCACTTTACACTTCGGTCCTGACAAGGGAGACGCGAGGCATGTATCTAAATGCTGTACAGCGCCATAAATCACGCTTTATCTACCGTAGGACAGTCTGTTAGCGGCTGCTGCCGCCTCTCCTGCATGTGTGTGTGTCTGTTCCTGCACGTGTAAGACATCCTAGCAGGTGCTGTTCCCCAGCGTGCCGCGGATGACATTCGTGTAAAAAGACAGGAAGTCGCAGCCCACGGGGGCCACGGTGGCAAAGGGCTTTGCCACATTCTCATGAATGTGCCACGCGGAGAGAAATATCCTTCCTAAACTATTCTGGAATGAAATGTGCTTCTGGCCTTCAGGAAATAATGTAATAAAAATCAATCTCAATAAGTAACGTGAGATTGAACTTTGCTGCACTTGCAACATCCTTTTTCGGTGTAGTAAGCGGTGGCAGCGATGACTTTGGTGAGCACTTCCTGTTCCTGTTGGCAAACACTGCCGTTTGTGGTCTGTTTCCTCTTTGCAAAGCTCTCGCTCATTTATATTTCTGGCTTGGCTTTTTTTGGAGCGGCTCGCTCCGAGCCACAGCCTCTCACTCAAGCTTCACCCCTTTGACACAGCCGTTCCAAAAATGCCAAGTCCATCCTGCCTGGTCGGCTGTGTCTTACGTTTACTCGTGCTGTCGTGACTCTCCTCATGTTCCGTGACCCGGTTTCTTGTTTGGCCTTCAGTTTGCAGGCTCCCCGAACCTTTGCCAGTAGAATTTCCCGTAGCCATCGGGAAGGCATTGCTTCCTGGAAGACTGCAAGCTGACCGAACAGTTAGGCTGCAGCGGAGATCCCGGCCACCGGCATGCTTCACGTTTGGCATGAGCTGCTTCTACTGAAATACATCCGATGTTTTCGCCAGACGTGTTTCTCATTTATGTCAGAAGTTCCACATTCGTGTCCTGCTTCCACCAGCTCCCTGGATCACGCAGGTGGTCTCTGTGAAACCCAAGATGGGTAGCAGAGGTCTTTCTGGAGAGTAGATCTTTCCCCTTTGGATTCCTCCCATGCACACCTGCAATGGGAGAGGCGCATGTAGAATCTCTGTCCTCACACCAGGCTTCTTTATGACCTCCATGAGTTTTGTACTTCTTACTTATAAAATTATTTTTGTTGGTTTACGACTCCAGGATAAGTGGTCAGAAGATGAATGGATGGATGGATGGATCGATCTTGCAAAGAGTCAATGGCATTGAATATCTCCCTTTGCGTCCTGTTTGACTGTGAATTGATGACGGCCAAAGTGAAATGTGGATATTCTCATCAGCACCAAAGCTCTTCTCCTTAATTTACAGCCCTGGGAAAAATTAAGAGACTGCTCAATATTTTTAAATCCTGGCTTAATGATGGTTCTGCCAGTAGATGGCTACACTGCAAGGCAGGCTGCTTCCAAGCTCAGTGTTTCTAAGACAGCAGTACACAAGACCAAGGTGAAGCAGGAGACACGGGCAATAACAAAAACCATGCAGGTAGAGGGCAGAAGCGACTTTCCGATGCCAGAGATGACTGCCAACTTATCTGGCAGTGCATCATAAATTGGAAGATGACCTCAAGGGGCCTTCAAAAAGGATGGGAAACATTAAGTGGTGTGAAGTGCACTGCTTGGACAGTTTGTATCAGGCTCCTAGAAGCAGGACTGAAGTCCCATAAAGCAAGGAAGGAGCCCTTCATTAATGGGAAGCAGAGAAGTGTTAGGCTGCATTTTGCAAAAAATGGCGCATACTCACAAACTGAGTAATGAGTGAAACTGAAAATTTTGATGGTCTCTTAGTTTTTTTCCAGAGCTGTATTTTGATTGGTGCATGATTTCCTCCATAACCCTTTGTTCAAAGCAGAACCTGATGGTGACAGTCGAGTCTTATGTATTTCTTATGTCTTATGTATTTCTTCACAGGAAAGGTCCCCTCTGACTAACATCTGATTGTCATCCTGTTGTTTAGAACATCTGACTCATATAACCCCATTACCAGAGCCGATTATGCTGAAGGCTCGCATGCTTTTTATAGTAAACAGAGTCAATGTTGAAGCGATGTGTTCAATAGAGACAGGAAAAGTGCCATTTGTTGTGTTATTTGTTTAATGGGATTTTCTTTGTCTTGGATGAAGATCACATTGAGGTTAATCCTAAAGGACTCAAAGCCTCCCTGTGATATCACTGTACGATTTCTTTGCAATGACACAAACGACCTGATTTAAAATGCATTTATCTGTGCCTAACAAGGCAAGTGGTAATGAAACAGCCTGACTAAATCATAATCATTCCCAAAGTAGGTGACATTGACATCTGTTGCATTTACTTAATCTTTTATCCATAATTTGTTGACAAAAAGGATGCAGGACCAGAGGCTGCTGCGAGAGGTCTGAGTTTGAAAGGTCAAACCGTAACGCATTTCTGTGGAAACACATCAGCGATTGGCCAATGCTGCAGCTGACTTGCGAAAAGTTAGGAAAAATGAGAAACTAGGCTTTTGCAAACAAAGTGGGAAACCTTTGCATAGTTAGTCAAATAAGCAATCAAATCAACACAAATTGCATTTAATTAAAAAGAGATTTGCTATGGAACGTCCCTGAGGGCTCCTCGCGATGCGTTAATTATCCATGAGGCTTCAAGGAGGTTCGACTAGCTCACATCCTGTGTGATAGGTGGACTGGACAGGTACCCATCGCCATGCCAACATCTGCCGTTGCCAAGGGGACGTTCAGGCACCAACTGGATTTTGGTGAATAGCGGGCAAGCGGGGAGTATGTTGCTGAGAGTGAGCATTTGGGAATAGTTGCTTTTTGACACCCCACCCCTGTTGACGGCAGAACAGCATAGTGCAGAATCCACCAGAATCTGCTGCTTAAGATTTATGCACAAGTTTGCCTGTTTGAATTTGGAGGAATTTATTTGGCCTAACGGGGCAAAACAGGAAGGAGGAGGCAGGAAGTTTTGGTTGGTTGGTGATTTTGAAAAACCCACCACATGAATGAATCTGCCTTCATCCATTGATGATTATTTGTAAGGTACTCCGTCCATCTTTCAGATGAACCAACAACTTATGTATAAGCTGGCTTACTCTTGTCAGTCAAGATGGCATTAAACACACACACCCTATAGTCCAAAAATGGCAGTTAAGACCAAAACCTGAAGAGAGCTTTCTGGGGTCATTTTCAGAATGCTGGTGAATCACACAGGTGTCCTAGCATTCCGTGAGGTAACACTGTGAACATTTCAAGAACGTCGTCTTTCTGATCGCCCATGTTCAGAGGACAGATCAACAGGCACCTTCCACCATTTTCAGCCGAAAGAAAACACACAGTCCTGCCTAAAGGCTCCCT